AATAGCATTCTCACTACTTGCAGAGAAAGCGACAATTTTCGAGTGTGTAAATAGTTCCGACATACATTGTATCTAATACTTCTTACTTAACGTTGCAGATAATTGAGGATGCATCGTTGGTGGTGACATTGCAACAGTTTGCACAGACTTATCTGCTATCGGGACTCAATCGGTTCAATTGAATTCACAGGACTGGAGTGACAAGCTGAACGATGAACAGCTATCATCGGCTCTGTAAAAGTCGCAAGTGCTATAAAATACGCACAAGTTGTCAGGTATTAATCTACCTGAGTCGACATGTGGGGAATTTGTTGCGTACGATCTGCTTGTCCAAGCTGACAAGCTTCTAGACATAGCCTGGATGCTATTAAAAATGTCGTCGAGGCTACGCAGATTGACAGTAGTGCAGCGTGCACTTCGCGGATGCACCTCGCAGATGCATATAGCGAAGGGAGCTCATCGCTTCACTGAAGGGGTCCCGAAAAATCGTTAAGTATTTATTTTGTGAGGTACGGTAGTAGAAATATGTGAGCTCAGCGCATATACGGTTCATATGCCGACTCGACTTATTTCAAAAATGGATTATAATATTATTATCAGGTTAAAATTCAAAATTGTAAAGTTAAGACTAATACTACGTGGAATGTGATATCAATCAAGTGCTACGTAGTACTTACTTAGTACTCCGGAGTAGTGCTTACTAGGTATTTTTTTCTTGGATACTTATATCCTGAAGTTTGAGACCTTGTATTTCCTGTATAAATAAATATAAGAAGTTGCTTGTAATTTATCGGAACTTCCGGTTGACCGGAGTTTACTAATTGGAGAAAAAGAATATGCCATTACCTGTCCAACGTTTATCGCCACCAGGGTGAATGTTGACCCACGTTAGAACTGCATTAGCCAAATAACAGCCATGTTCCAAAAACAAGAGAGCGAGATTATAATATAATCTCGCTCTCTTTTTAAATATATTGTATAAATGTATTGTTAAAAGCTAGTCATAAATTATTGGGGGACTTCGCGACGAGAGAAAATAAATTATTCCAAAAGATTATATTTCCGCATAATTACAAAATAATATTTTAAATTCAAAGTTTTGGACGAAATAAAGTGACATCAGCGCGTACAAAGGAACACTTGGAGTTCTACACTTACCACTAAAACAATTGTTCAAATTGGGAGATACTGTCAAATAATTGGATATAATCAGTGATTTGCGCTTACTTCGCGCCAGTATGGAAAACTGATCTTATTAAATAACTTCTACAATACCGTTTAGCTGTATGAGTAATTGAGCTGATCCAGAGCGATGCTACAATTACCTGCGAGATGATGGATTTACTTACTCTCCGGTAAAATAAGCCCGTTTTCTAAAACTTTTCAAATTTAGAAATAGAAAGCTACTTTTACTAAAGGGTAGCCACCGCCCCTCCCGGAAGTCGCTCATGATAAGTCCGCTTTGCGTCGTTTTGGGGAATAGGCTCAACTTGATTTTTATATTGAATTCCGCTGAATTCAAAGTGTCAATACAAAACTCCACCCCAGTTCCCCTGAGACAGACATAACATCGCTTATCTGAGACCTGCTGAGTGTCGCCGCCCCTCCACCAACCAGATATTTACCGGTAATGACTATTTTGTCGTTATACCGCTAGCGGTATCAGCCGTGCATATATATATATGCTAAAGTTATAAGTGGCAGGATTCTGAACCTGTAATTCTACTATGTATAGCATTATCAATATTTGTAATTTACTGTCCAGTCCGACTAGTGCTACTTCATCAGAGATTGACCCCGCCTTGTTTCGTCAAGTCTGGATCCTCCATAGACTTTACCTCGCGCTTGTTGCGCCTCAAGAGCACTTCCTACTCCGCTCTTTAGCTCTCCGGCCTGGCTCGCTCGTGACAACGCCACCAGTAGTGTCGCGATACCACCGACAAATTAATGTGCTTGCGTAGTGCCTGACCATTCCAAGAAACCTCAGAGTTTCATTCTCGAGCACAGAGAAAGCGCTTGAGATCGTCACTTTCCGCGGTTTTGACAGCTGCGGTACCCTGTCCTTGAGAACGTAGCGTGTTTACTGGTAGACATTGATGCTTTGCGACTTCATTCCAATTGACTGTGTGAGCAAACCTTTTTCTGAGGATGATGTCAGCTTGGTCGTCAATAGATGCATCATTGGCACCTGGGTGGAGCCGCTAAGGCACTGAGGCGCGCTGGGTGGTTGAAGTTGGTACACAGTCAAACGTGCCGGGGGAGGGCTTCCGAGTGTTCCGACGATTCGCAGGCGTGTATTGACCTGAACACTTCCCTGTGCACACTCCTCAGCAATTGACGTCCCACTTCAGTAGCTCTTTCAACTTTTGTTGACTGCTACTCGGCACCACGTGACTCCACGCTGTTTACGTCAATTGCGTGTCCATCTGCCGTGCGTGCGGCTGTCTTGTCGATGGGCGACCGGACTCTCTGAGGTTAAGTGAGAATGTTCACCTGCTTGATATTCGACTCCGCAATGATCACCGCAACTGTGTGGGAATTCTTAGAGTTCGACTCGACCTCTTCTGAGCCCATGGTTTTGAGTGGAGAGACGCTATGTTAGGGATTTCGCGAGCCTGACCCAAAGCGTCGCTTGTCATCATCATACTTTGGAGCGGTATGTGCTCGCTCTTGAATGCAATGTCCTGTTATCTTGAGCATGTGACCACAAGTTGTTTCTACAAAGCTTCAATTTGTCTAGTACACTACCATAGCTCTCTAAAGCTTCATACCCCGGCTCCTCTTCATGCACAGATTGGTTTTTCTCCTCTGCATTCGCACTTTCTCCCGCACGGACCCTCTGAATCCGCAGTTTCTTCAGCGTCATCCGAAAAGTTGGAATTGCACGTGTCATCTAGAGGCGACACACTGCGATCGATGCAATTTTCATTCCTCGAGTCTGAATTCGATTCCAGGTCGTCGCAGATAACTTTGTAAGTTTCTTCTAAGGTGGCCTGGAACTGTCACGAAGTTCACGAGCTTTGTAGGCGTCGCACACTTGCTTTACAATTACCCATCGAAAGTTACAAAGTCGAGAAATTGCGCAGATTCTAGCGTTAGCGGTTCTATCGAAGCGAACCTCCTTGTTCGTAAGGGCAGTTCTTATTATCTCCTCCTTCTTTTCCTGGCTTAACCACTCCATTGTCTCCTTCGAGCATTCCAAAACTGATATGTGTCCCTTCCCACGTGAATCGTTTTCTCCAATCATGTCAATAGCTCTATTCATTGTGGCCCTAAAGGGAACTTATGGGTACCCTAGACATCTAAAGCGAATCTATATATCCTAAACCAGTAAAAGCGAATGGTAGGTACCATAGACAACCAAAAACGAATAAATAAGTTCCCTAGACATCAAGAAAGCGAATTAATAGGTGCGCACTGAGTAGTTTTAAATTATGAGTGGTGCCAAAACAATATTCAAAAGGAATATGAAAAATGATATCACTAAATAAAAGTGATGTTAACTATAAAAAAGAAGGAAAAAAACCTTTAACAGAGAGCAAAATGCCCTGGCATTCTCATGAAGTGAGCTCTTAGGTAAAATATAGGTTAGGTTCAATTGTGGACTGTATCTTTTGACAATTTTTCATCATGTGCCCATTATTTTTAAGAAATGGGCACCTGGTTAAAAATAAAGCTACAATCATTATGTGAGCCACATCATCTTATCCCAATTAAAAACCCAGACTGTTTCAAAAAAAAAAAAAAACTATTCCTGTTTTCGTGTCAACAAGGATCGGACGCAAAAAATGGCCGCACATGCGTCGAAGGACGCCGCCGCACTGGAGGGTGTAGTGCTGGCGGCACTGGGATCTCTGTACCAGCCCCACGTGACGAACCCGCAGGAGACGCAGGCGGCCGACGCCTTCCTTCGGGGCTTCCAGCTCACTCCCGCAGCCTTCGACGTCTGCTCGTCGCTTCTAGACCAATTGTTACAACAAGCGCGACACACATCGGGAGCGTTAAATTCGAGCAGCATACCCGCCGTGTTCTTTTCGGCGCAGACGTTGGCCATTAAGCTTCGACGTCAGCCTTTGACTTCAGCCTTGGACGCCGGCACTTGGGCCAAGCGAATCGTAACCTGGTTATCCTGCGACATCAGACTACCGAAAATGGTGGTTACGCAGCTTCTGCTCGCCCTTGTAGCCACACTACCGCGTCTGCAACCACAAGACCTTAAGCTACAAGCTACTCAAGCCGTAGACAAGAGCGCCAGTCAATTATACGCGGTGGTACGGGAAAATTACACCCAATGCAACGGCCAGAGTGTAGTGGGGTACGCTCTGTTACACTTGGTCCAGCAAAACGTAACCCCTACAGTGCTAGCCGAGTTACTGCTACTATTGGTTGAAGAAGTGGACACTTTAGCCGAACGCAGCGCCAGACAGAGAATGCAGGACGAAGTGGACGCCTGGGCACCCGCAGTACTGGACAGACTGCTGCCTCAGGTGATGCACGAGGCGAGTAACCCAGGAGTGGGCACTTGTCCGGACAGCGTAGAGACTCAAGAGACTGTTCTGCGCGCTCTGACGAGCTGGTTACGTTACGTTAAGGTGGACGCCGAGGCGGTGGTGCGTAACCCCTTGTTACACTCGTTACTGGGCTTCCTAGCTCGAGACGATCTGTTCGATGCATCGGTGGACTTAGCTGTGCAACTTGTGAGATCTTATGCTCACTACAGTGTCGTAGTACAGTGGCTCGCACCTAGATTATTATCTTTAAGAGGTGCTTTTACCTCGGCAGCTGAAGCAGAAGATATGGACGCGTGTTTGGGCCTGTGTAGGATTTTCACCGAGATGGGAGAGGCCTATTTGGAGCTGCTATTAGGCGCTGGGAATGATACTGCGCTGGTGGATTTACTACTGGACTGTATGAGTTATCCAGACGCCGAAGTGGCGGACGTGACGATCCCGTTCTGGTTCAGACTGTTGGAAGAGCTACAGCGTCGTGTTACACCCGCAATTCTGGCTCAATATAAGCCCAGACTCGAGAGATTAGCAGGTCTGTGTATGCAGAAACTGCAGTTCCGAGAAGAATTCCCCACTCTGCCGGTGGATAAGCAACAGGACTTCAAGACATTCCGTCAAGAACTCGGAGATATCCTACGTGATTGCTGTCAATTGCTGGGTGTTGAGGCTGTGCTGCAGCATTGCGTCAATGGACTGAACCAGATCTTCCAAACACCAGCAGAGTCGCGCAGTTGGGAGGCTGTGGAGGCGCATCTGTACTGCTTCCGGTCAATTGCACGTGAGGTGGAGAGAGCTAAGACGAACGTGGATGCTCTGGACGCGCCGATTTCGCTCATTTTTCAGCATCTGCCGCAGTTCGCTGACCACCCTGCGATCTGCTACACGTCGTGTCTGATAGTATCACGTTATGCGGAGTGGTTACGCTCACATCCTTCGTCGCTGTCCACTCAGGTGAATTTTCTTAACACTTGTGTGACCAAGAGCGCGGGAGATGCTCGATACGGAGAGTGGGAAGTGGCCAGAGCGGCTGCGTCTGCTGTTCGAGCACTGGCGATGGACTGCTGGTCGATACTTGGAGCAGATATTGTCGCTTTCTACCTGCATATTGAGCAGAACGAGCTCATGGCTGTGGAAGACCAAGTATTAATTCTCGAAGGTATCTGTGCTGGCGTGGCGAGCTCGAATGACATGCCTCGTACTCTCTCAGTTCTAGATCAAGTTATGAAGGGAATCGGCCAACGACTCACTGCTCTGTTCGCGTCGAGTTCAGCTAAGAGTCAAGTGCAAGTCGCACTGAACGAGCTATTGCGGTTAATGTGTCTGTACGAGTATCTCGACATCAGCAGGCTCCACGGAGAGAAGCACCCGCTCGTGATGCTGACGGAGCAGTTGTGGCCGCTGTTTAATCAGATGTTGGCTCTGTATCGCGGCCATGATGAGCTGGTGGAGCGTGTGTGTCGCTGCTACAAGCGTATTCTTCGTACATGCGGCGAACATATCGCTCCATTACTGCCGCAACTTGTGGACAATTTGCTGGCGTTTTACCAAGCAGAACCCAAGAGTTCGTACCTGTACACAGCCAGTATGGTGCTCAAGTTCTTCGCTCACAGCGTGAGCGAGATGGATCCTCTGTTCGCTCGAATGCTCTTCACGTTGATCGAGACCACGACGCCCATTTTTGCCAGTGTGAACGACATGGAGACGCGTCCGGATGTGGTGGAAGAGTTCTTTTACCTGATGGAGAGAGCGGTGCGATGTGTGCCTCAAGTGCTGGCTGCTGTGCCTGCTGGAGGGCAGAGCTGTCCGCTTATGACCAGTGTGTTCTCGTGCGCTGTGTCTGCGCTCGCGATCTCGCACAATGACGCCAACAAGGCGGTGCTGTGCTTCTTGGAGCAAGTGTACGTGCAGTCTCAGTCGGAGGACGCTCGTGTGAAGCTGGTGACGTTGTGTGTGTCTAACACGGCGGTGTCTGATAGCAACAAAATGCTGGTAAGTTATCTACTTCGAGGTGTGGTTCTCGGTGCTATGTCGCCTTCACGAGTGGACGCAGACTATGGCTCGGCAGCAGGAGTGTTGGTGCAGTTAGCGAAGGTGAATGGGCAGCAGCTTCAGCTGTGGATTGCGGAGTGGTTTGAACAGGCCACGGCTGGGACGTTTGCGACTGCTGCGGTTAACTTTCTCACGCCAGAGGAGGCTCAGCAGTTCCAGAGCGACCTGTTTAGCGCTGTCAATGAACGCGCATTTAGACGTACCGTCCGTCATTTTGGAAAGCTCTGCGCTTCTCGCAACACATCACTCAAGGACTGTGAGCGCCCGTAGGCTACAAGGAACAGGTAAGCACGAGTTACAATGAAGGATAGCAGAACTCTCTAGGACGACCATTTGTGAGTATTGATTGATCCCCTTATATTATCAAGAAACAGGCCGTTCGCTTCGAGTTCCTGTGTTAGAGTGCACCACTGGGCTGGTCTGTGTCGGCGCTGGGCGTTCTAGACAAGTGCACGTCGATGGCGTAGGCGGAGTTGGTAGATTGCTGGCTGTCGCCTCTGTTCGTGGTGTCGTCTTCATGCATCAGCGCTCCATCGTAGTTCCACGCGACGTCTTCCTCGTAGGTGCCAGCGTTCCACGAGCTAGGGTCGTATGCGTTGTTATCACCCCAAGTGTATTCTGCGCCGTCGGCGTCCGCAAGCTGTTCTTCATCGTGAGCAGCAGCATAGCCGTTATCGCCAGAGGTGGCTGTGGTCCAGTCGTCTACAACAGGAGCATCAGACGTGTAAACCTCCGCAGCATCATACGCTACTGGGCATGCCACGTCGCTTCCTGCTTGCTGATCTGGATTAAGAGCAGGTAGCTCCGAGTCGCCAGGTTCTATAGCTTCTGCATCTCTTCGATCCTCGACATCGCTAGTGCTGATGCTTGTATCTGGTGCTACGTTGACTGTATCCGGCGGTGTTGGCACATCAACGCCATTCGCACCAGTCTCTTGGAAGACCTCTTCGCTGGAATCTCCACTCTGCAATGCACCGGATACAGTCTGATGAATATCGCTAGACCTCTTGGCCGGCGAAGTGGTCGCGCGCCGGGATTCCGGCGCAGCTCTGTGTCTTGGCTCGGCAGAGGCCACGCGTCGGGTATCACGATTAGCTGGAACAGCGTGAACTGTGGCGACGGACGCATGCCGGTCAGACTGACGGACGTGGTCAAGCCCTGGAATCTCTACTTCACTAGCGTGAACTGCCTCTTCCTCATCCTCCCTCTGTCTTCTAGCGAGGTTGTCAAGGTGGTCCGCTAACGTTGCAAGTTGTGCCTGCATGATCTCTGGAGAGCACGTATCGTAGAGTTGCTGGGCGGTGACGTGGTGTAGTAAGCCCGCGAAGCCTCGACAGAAGAGACCAAGTAGCTCGAGCATCAGTCGGTCTTCAGTCTGCTGTGCTGCTTCACGCTCGTTGTTTACAACAACGTCACTGACAGTTCCGTTGCTCGCTGCTTCAGAGGCTGTGAGAGTGAAAGGCGACGCTGACAATCGTGCTTTAGCTACTCGAGAGACCTGAACCATTCCAAGTGGCAGCGCTGTGTTCCATGGCGAGAGAATCGGGGCGAGATACAAGCCACGAGCGCCCCCAGGGATATCCACAGTGTCGTTAAAAGCTGCTTCTGCTGACGGCTCGGGGACTACGATCGATACTGCGTCGCTGCGTAGCAGGAGAGCGCAGAGAGAAGCGTGGGCGTTGACGTAGCGGCGAACAAGAGCGGGAGAGCTGCTGTCATCCGCTTCACGCTCGCCTGCGTGCCACAACTTGTGAGCAGCAGCATCCAACACGAAGATGCGGATCTGTTTGATACCCAGACAGTCTCCTAGCTCCTTCTGTGCCACTGCCACAAGCTGCACTAGCGATGGAGTCTCTGAAGATGTCGAAGCTTTGGCGACGATATCGCTTGTCATTTGCAGGATCTGGTGCGTCTTGTGGTTAATTTTCTGCAGCGTTTTAGTCACGGCTGTTTGACGCAGTATAATTCCCGCTTGGATAGCCAGTAGACTGCCGAGAATCTGGTCATTGGAAGAGAAAGGCTTCTGGTGCGTGGTGTTCCAAGCGCGAAGAACTGCAAACACTCCGAGACTGTTGTTCACCTTGACGTGAGAGTCAAGGTAAAGCTGAAGTTCGTGGACAATTGGAAGAGCTAAAACCTCCCGTGACGTCGTGCCTGTGACCGAGTCTGTTGAGCTGTAGAACCGTGGATCGTCGTTGGCACAGTGCACGTTACACAGCGTATTGTGTCGCACAGCGTACCCCGCGATTCCTTTGTCCAGTGGCAATTCCCAACGCTCAATTCCACGTTCAGAGCACGTGGCGATCAGCTTGTGGGTAGCATGATCGACAGTGAATAAAGCTGCATGCTCGCAGTGTAACAATTCACACACGCGCTTAAGTAACCTGTTACAGGATAAGGATTAAAGACGATAGGTATAGCGTTTCAGAGCGAGAGACTCACGTCTGTAGGACGGTCGGAAGATGAGTGGAGCACACGACGTGGACGCAGCTATTGAGCCACTTCTTGAGCACCACAGACAAGTTGATGGCGTTGGTGATACTGAACTGCGAGTCCACTTTCTCCAACACTTTTAAGATGTTGGGATCAATGTATTGATAGGCTTCGGCAGTCACAAGGTGGCTGGCTGTACCGAGAAATGTCTGGACAGTCTGCATCCTTGCCGATGACCCTGCTCTTCTCGGAGTCGACAAGGTGATCGATACTGGTGACGCGCTGGTGGGTCGATTGTTGTCGCCTTCGGAGCGTTTCTTAGACTTGGTTAAGCGAGAGACTTGATCTGTGTCACTAGCTGCTTCGTCATAGTCGTCTTCTCGACTTTTGGCCTCGCTCATGTGCTGTAAAGCTTCAATCTCGGCTTTCAAACGCTTGATCTTCTTCTCCTGGTTAGACGTTAGGGTCTTATCCTCAGCATGGCGTGCTTCTAAAACCTACAGCAGGTTAACATACAGGATAGTATCATCAGTAAGCTGTATCAAAAAGGTTTAGGATGCAACGAGAACGTACCCGAAGTTTGCGGAGGAAGTCTTGATTCTCCCGTGCTAGAGCCTGGAGTGCACTCTGCTGCACGGAGTTATCTGAGGGGTTTTGCTGGTCCACAAGCTTCTGGAGATTGGCGTACACAGCAGCGTAGCGAACAGCGAGTTTGTCGTATTCATGGTGTTGTCGAAGCACAGTCTTATCCAGCTCTTCGATTCGAGCTTGTTGCTGAGTCTTCTCGACTTGAAGCCGCTGGTTCTCCTGACTGAGCTGGGTAATGTGCTTGTCCGCCATGTGACGATACTTTGTACTAGCTGAGACTTCTCGTTCGAGGACAAGAAGCCGCTGCTTCAAGACTGAAATCGTGTGCGCATCTTTACACAGTTTTTCCTGGATTAGAGGATCCTTCGGGTGTAGAGGTACAGCGTCCTGCTCGGCGTTTATAGTTTGTCGACCTTCACAGCTGTCTAACAATGGATCAGGCCTCACTGCTGCAGCTCGAGTGTTAGCAGGCAAAGGAGTAAGCCGAAAGGTGGCAGCATTCGCACTGCCCTGTAGCGTCCGCTTCTTTGATGAGCTGTACACGCTTGCGCTCATAGGACTGTATATTGGTAGATCTGGAGCAGATCCACATCGATTCAGTATCGAGAGCTCCATGGTGTATTTTTTCTTCGCTGTAGATTGATCACCGCCTTCTATTTTCTCTTCATGGTTTTCGAACGTTATTTGAGGTTGTTTAGTCGATGAAGGTGTAGTGTTGCTGGCCGGAGCACTTGATGGCGTCTTGGATCTCGCTTTTTTCTTGTGTTGTCCTGACGACGACAATCCCCTCTCCTTGCGAGCACGAATCGACACAGAAACTCCATTTTCGTCGCCTTTTCGCCGTAATTTAGGAGAATTTCTGGTACCTCCACATGGCGAAATCACATTAGTGCTTGATTCATGAATGATGAAGAACGAAGAACACGGAGAGAATGAAGAAACGTTGTTGTTTTGGCGGTGGTCGTGTTCGCTGTCGTTTATTGAGGGAAGCTCGCCTCTCTCAGAGCTGCAAGAGCTCGAATGAGTAGGCATCGATGGTGAATCACAACGGCTAAGCTAACGACTCTCTGGACAACAAGTTTATAAATGATTAGTAGAATCGTAAAATGCTAATTAAGGGATGGTTTAGCAAGCATATGAACTACTGATACTAAATTACGAAAATAAAATTAGATTACGGTCTTTGAAACTACGGTATCAATTAGTTTATCACGTACGCAAGCTACAAGTTTCGCCTTTCTAGTTCTTTATTCTCACTATTCTGTTGATCGACATCAAGTCCAACTGTGCTACGTGTATATGTATCCCCGAGTCATGCGTTTGTGGTAAAAGAGCACATAACCTTTGGCAAAAGCCGGGCAGTTCTCCTTGATCAATTGTGGAGTCTTGTCCGTGAAGATCCATTTGTTCTGTTGCACGAGTCTCTCATTTTGTTGTCAGAAAAAAACCTGACCCAGAACGGCACCTTCCCCGTATCCTGCGATATGACCATCCTCTCAAAAGTCTCCAACTTCTTCATTACCGCCGACTTATCTGCAGAAGGGAGCCGATTGAGGCCATGTGAAAGTTCCTTTTTAAGGGCTGAATCTCCAGCAACTTGTTTACAGATGAAAACAGAGAAGTGCTCTCTCTCTCTCTCTCTCTCTCTCTCTCTCTCTCTCCTCGTCGTGTTCACCAACATACTCTTTTTTTTTCCGAAAGTAGCGCCTGGTAGGGGCTACCTTTTCCTTGATGACACTAGAATGTGGAGCGCCAGACGAAGTGAATTGCCGTGAGTCCGGGAGCAGAGTACCTGGACTTGCCTCGAGAGTAACTACATTGAAGAGAATGATGAATAGAACACGCATGGATGATAAAACTGTTGGTTGACAGGTAATTTGTTAACTGGGCTTCGGACACAGCCCTGGCCTTGTAGTATAGAATGCTGCGGTTTATCGAACTTATGAAACACGGTTTATCGGTTTCACTATTTCACGTTTGTCTTGCTCGTTTCGCTGCGGTGGCGCATATACTGACATGGGGAAACTGATGGTGGCCACCTCTTATTGCTCGCAGCAAATATGGTTCAGAGTTCGTAGACAAGGTCAAATTTCGCACCAAAAACCTCGGTAAGTTAGATTCGGGTTTGCTTCGCTTCAGGCATGGTAATTTCTCGCTCATTCTCATTTATTGACTTATCAACTTTAGACAATGTATCTTATTGGTAATGCATGTTCGAGAAGAAAGGGAAAAAAAGCTACAGCATTGCGCTTAGTCGTGCTATCTAATTGCCAACTGATCAGCTATCAACTTTGCATCTTGACCCAAATACCTCAAAACCATGATATTCTGCTCAAACTGATAGCAACTCATCACGCTGAATTGTCTGCAACCTGTACAGCACTTCAGCTGCTGTCGGTCGGTCTTTCGGATCCAGCGACACGCATGCAACTCCCACATCCACCATCGAAGCCAATGCATTCCGTGAAAACTGGACGCGCAACTTCCCCATTGCCATCCGCTGGAGAATCGCCAAGTCACGCATCCGGTGGCATGATCCATCGCTTTCGGTTGCATGAGCGTAAGGTAGCACCTGCAAATCTAACTCCGACAACACTACACCGAACGAGAAAATATCGGCCTTGTCGTCGTACCGTTCTCCCATAAGTACTTCCGGTGCCATCCACAAGGACGTTCCCACTCCAGCAGTCATTGTGTGGTCTGCACGTTCGCGGGAGACTCCAAAGTCTGTCAACTTGGCATCCAGATCCGTTGTCAGTAGAATATTCCTTGACTTAAGATCGCGATGGATTACCACTGGGCTTAAGGAGTGCAGATACGTGAGTGCATGTGCAATGTGGAGAGCGATCTTCACTTTGGCACAGTTGAAGCCTACGGGATGATGTTGGTTATGATACGATGTAAGCAGCCCTCTCAAATCTCCGCCATCCATGAACTCGATGACGGCGCAAACATCACTAAGAGAGTCCCATGCTACACCTACAAATTGCACGATGCGCGGGTGATCTAGTGAGGCAATTAGTTTGACTTCCATTAAGAAGTTGTTGACGTGAGCAACACTCTTTCGGTGTGCTGGTAACATCATCTTAACCGCCACAGAAAGTCCGTTGAAAGTGCCTTTGTAAACCTCGCCATACCCTCCTTGACTGATCAGATTCTCCACTTCAATCTTCTCTTTTGGAATTCTCGCTGTTGTTATCACATCGTCATCCCAGAGGTTCACTTTACTTCGCGGACGCTCACGATTATATCGAGAAGCATTGCTTCGCGTGGTGCGAGTTTCACGAGAAGTTGCATTGCTATTGTCGTTATTAGCAACTGGTGATTGGTGGCATTCATAGCGTCCATCAAACCCATCAGCTCCACCGTCCTCCACTAAGTTTTCGTGCTTGATATTCTTTTCGTTCTTGAGTCTTTTCCACCACGCGATTGAGACGATTGCGAGTTCGATTGCTGAGAATACGATGGTTATAACAACGCCAGTGTCAAGTGAAGGGCGGCTGTAGGGATTGAACCCGATGTAAGCATAGATGCTTGCAAAAATGCAAATAGCTGAGGTCACAGCACAGGTGATAATCCCCACAGCAGTATCCTTAATGCAATATATCACAATACGGCTTACGATAGCTGCGATGAGCGACCCACCAATGGTAGCCGACGCTGCTTTGTCAAGACGGCGAAACACAAATACAATGCCGAAACCCATTGAGCCGAGCATGAGAGACACAGTGGCAGCAGCCTCAATCGCAATATCCAATGTGTCGACGACGATATGAGGCATCTTGGTCTGGGTATCTACACTGGCGACGTTTTCATGCGTGAGTTTCCAGATGAAAGCAAAAATGAGCCTGCTCTGTTGGAATGTGGTGCAGTGTGTACCCATCGAGTGCTGCTCTATGCAACGTTCCTTTCTGGACTTGCCCCTATAACGGCAAGTTTTCATGGAAAATATTCATTCATTCGGGATATATTTTGTATTAGCAGCAACATGGGTTACGGGCTGTTCTGGTAAGTGACGTCGGAAACGCTAACAACTCAGTTCGGAATTGGTCCATGGATGGCCGTTCAAAACATTTGCTCTTGAACTACAGGGGTTTCTTGTTCACTTGCAGCTACGGATAACATTTCCACTATTAACTTGGCTAGTCTATTCCCTGTACACTGACTGTATAGTCGGCTATACAGGTATATATCAGTTAGTTTGTGTCTAATAGAAATGCTAACATGTATTGCGGAACGAGAGCTACGGATTCTGAAATGCCAAATTATTTTGCCGAGATCAGTAACGGTTGCTTTAACTAACTGGAGTGGATACAGTTTTTTTTTTATTCTAGGAATTAGCCTATTGCGGACATTGGGATCAGTCCGGAAGGATGATCTGTTTTCCGGCGAGGCGGTAAGTTCTGAAGACGAGAGACCTATTATTAGGAAAGTCAGAGATTTGTTGTTAGATTAGACTCACTTTTGCTTTTACTCCGCGGAACGAACCCGCCTCACCACGCCCTCCGGATTGACCGGCAATACACATTTTCGCCCCCCATTCACTTCAAGCTGGACGCACGAGGAAAAGATTATTTGAATCGATGCAATACCAACATACAAATTTTAATTTTAGCCCAGCATGTAACTGAACTATCAATTAGCTAACATGATACTTTCAGTTAGTGTCTAGTAAATTTGTTAATGCCCTACACTATTGGCTAAAAAAACAACTTCATCCACTCTGGTGAAGTTGCAGAGCAGGCTTGATCGATTTCCGATCATGTTTGGAAGCAGCTGAATTCAACGCATCGATTACTTCTTCTTGTACCCAGCAAGTAAACAGATCGCTTGACCATCACTTATCTCCGCCAGATCACTCGTACTTTGTTTCGCTTTGATTTTCGTCATCCACACGCCGTTTTTCTTGGTCGGGAATGGCCACAAATTTTGCACATCATAACTTTCAAGTCGCTAGCACATGGATCACCTTCTTCGTCGGGGAAGCTCCCAGACTCTCAACTCAATTAAGCCGAGAAGAGGCTTCTAACTTGTTGGAACTGCTTCTCTTTCTTCAAATGGAGTTTTCACGGAAAAGTATGAGAATGCTTCGTAAGACTACAGTGATGCTGGATCATCAGTGGCTCGATGCCAGCTTTTCCTGTGCAGAAGAAGCTGAATCGTGATAGAAAAGAGGAGCTGCGATTTTATTTTAGTCGTGTAGTATACTTCTCTTTCAAAGAGTCTGTGGTGTCCATATACTCCAGAGTGTAACCTGAAGAACTCTATTTTTTTTCTGACTTGTGTGCACATTTTGGTCGACAGTCCTCTATTAAGGTGTCCGCGCTGTGTACTTCAAAAATAGTTGCTAATAAAGGGTGTTGACTTGGTCTCCCTAAAAACGTTGCAAGATAAGGGGTTGCTGACGTCCGACCATCACTCCTGTTTGGCGCGTAATTTCCGCACCCCATCATTCCGCATTCGCTTCGATTCCGCACTGAGCATGGAGCAGCGTCGACGCGAGGCGGCCAAGGATCTGCTCAAGCACAGTCTGTTCGGCTTCCAGGCGCACGATGCCGTCGTCTCGGAGCGTCTGGGCGAGCTGAAGGATTTGTTGCTGGCTACGTGCGGCGAGAAGGACCAGATCGCGCTTCTAAGTGAAAATATCCGCGAGATTGAGGAGCAACTGAAAAACCGCAGCGAGCGCTTCCTGCTGGAGTCTCTGCGGTGCTTTGAGCAAGATATGGAGCTGCTGCTGGACGTGGGGAGCGGCGACGATGCGGAGGAAATCGAGGAGGACTCGGACGACGACCTGGACATGGAGGAGTGTTTGTCACTCTCGCAGGACCCCGCTATTGCTGCCACGACGCCGCTGTCCTCGCCTCTGCGACCTGTGAAACCTGTTAAGCCTAAAGATAAGAAGACAGAGGATGAGGAAATGCTGTGTGGCGTCTGCTGCGCTCCGGATTCGCTGGAGAACGACCCCATCGTCATCTGTGACGTGTGTGGTGTGGCAGTGCATCAGACGTGCTACAGATTGGCTGCAGTACCGGAAGGAGACTGGTTCTGTCACCCGTGCAGACAGTATATGGACTCACAGGACATTGAGAAGAGCTTGATCCCCACCCATGAGCTGGAGTGTGAAGCCTGTTGCTCGAAAGCAGGAGCCATGGCACCGACGGTCGATGGCGGTTGGGTGCATGTGGCGTGCTCCATGTTCTTGCCCGAGTTGTATGTACAGGAGAAGCACGCGTCGAGATTTCAGAGTCCACTGGATGATGTACAGGTTGTGTGTGGCATGGACAAGCTGAAGCAAAGGAGAAAACTGCGCTGCTGTTTTTGCAAGAAGAGCAAGTGGGTGAACGATTGTTTGTTGGTTGGTGTGGCGGCAGTTGCTGACGAGAGCTGCTGTGCTGTTGTTGCAGTGAAAAAGGAGCATGTGCGCAGTGTGCAGTGGGAAAGTGCACTGTGGCATACCACGCATTATGTGCACTGCGGAACGGAATTAAACTACGCTATATGGAAGATCAGGTACGAGATTAGTAGACGAGGGATTTGTATGTTTGAACGATTGATTCACGTTGTTCTTTAATGACAGGGTCAATTTGGAAGTGGGTGCCTTAAACACCAAGCCAAATTCCTTGGAACCGATGGATCCGACGTAGCTGCGGATGAGAACAACTCGGAGAAGAAATCTCGTGATAAATCCAATTCAAAGAGGCAACGAAGAAACTCTTGGTCAGACGAAGATGACAGTGATAGTGACAAGGATGATGATAACGAGCTGGATAGTGACAGTGAGCATGATGGCAGCCAAGACTCGCTTTCGGATGATGACCATTTGGATGGAAATGATGATCATAAGGTACAGACACAACCAACACCAACAAAAATGTCTCCGCCGCGGCTTCTTGGTGCTCCACCGCTCAGGAGCAGCGGCAAGAAACAAGCCGGCAGACCGAAAAGTAGGCGTCAAATCAAGCTGTCATTTGCGTCAGCAGATGATACTCCTTCGCAGGCCACGCTACCACCGAAAACCTCTTGTACGTCATCGAGTTCAACCCCATCAAACCATAATACTGCAGTTGTCCCAGCTTCAGCTCTGCGTCAAGCTACAATATCGAATAATGATAAGGATGCTGACACCAACAGGGGGTTTGTACTCCAAACCAACGTCTTCGCACCTGCTTTTTACCCGTCGGCGTACAAACCAGACCACGTCGACGACCAAGACTTTGAATACGTAATGGTTATGATCTCCAGTCGGCCTTTTGGTATCGGGATCTCGTCTTCGAACGACGGGCAGGGCATTTATCTCCATGCGGACAATACTCGTAACCCTGCGGTCATTGCGGCACTAGAACGTGAAGTTATTCAAGATGGCGACGAGATTTTTGCTTTCAACGACCAGGTTTTACGTGGCATCAATCTCGAGAGCTTCAAAGAAAAAATCGTTCCTGCAGTGTCGCTGCCTGTTCGGTGTTGGTTCCGGACGAAGCGGAAGAGTAAAGTATTTACAGTACCTGCTGCTCAGCTAGCTTGCACCGGCGGTAAGACCCCTGTGCAGCCTACCTCGGTAAGTCTGGCAAGCTCAAGAGAACAGCATCCTGTGGCCCCGTCTGCGCCGACTACGAGTCCACCGTCTGGTCCTGTCAGTAGCAATACTGTTGAAGGCGATGTCAGCGTTGTTTCATTCGGTATTGATTGGCCGTGGGTATTTCTTCGGTCGGACGGCAAGTTAGCGATGAATCTGTTCTGGAAGTCACTGGACTCGGCATTCTTTCTTCAAAAAATCAACAAGCGCACATTTTCGCAGCTGCAGGAAAGTGTGGAGGATATGTGTGGCGTGCGGTTGAGTAGCTCTCATCCAGACTATGAACAAGTCCGTGAGTTGTTAGTGATGCCTCGACGCGAACGCGTGCCGACCTACCTTGTGGAATTTCGGAAAACGCGTGAGGAGAAGCAGAAATTCCTTTCGTCTGACGTCTTGATGGGCGTCTCTAGTGAACCGAAAGATGCAGAAGCAGAGGTGGATGAACAAACTCCCCTCGAGGTCGGAACCACCGTCAACGTGGCGAAGCGCACGTGGCCTGGAATGAACAAACTTGGCGGTGTAGGTCGAATCAAGAAAGTGAACGAAGACACACTACCGAACGGCAAAACGCGATACACGTATAATATTGGCTACGTTTTAAGTGGCACTGACAAGAACGTGGAGCGCAAGTACATCAGTGTTGTCGACCTCGAAGCAGACGAACCTGATAAGAGTGAAGAGACCAACTCGACACCAGCAGGCAGAAGACAGAAATCTGAGCCAGAGGCGGACACTAAGGATACCGAGGAGGAACATACTGACACCTTGAGCGTCAGATTAGTCTTCGCTCTAAGTCGCACGGCTCTCGAGGATAAGCTTACTGAACTCCCTGATGCTTCGATTGAAAGTCCATCCAAGCGACGACGATTCCAGTTGCAGTTCACAACAGAAAATGAAGCTGTGCATTGTGAGCGGAAAACAGAACATTTGGATCCTGCTCCTGCTGCGCGAGAGCTACTCCTGCATCGCCATTTTTCAGTTAAATTGGCTGATGCGTTAGTAAACGAATGCTTTTCATCCGAATTGCTGAGCGTGGAGGATCGTGTTGGCGATGAAGTTGACGAGGACGACACTGACAACGAAGATGAAGAGGACGAGATCAAGACGGAACTGATAAGTCTACAAAACCAGTTCCGTGCTGTGATGCAGTCCAACGAGCTGACGTTTGCATCTCTTACCAAGAAGGTAGAGGAGGAATATGCATCAAAGGAATACCGTCAACAACAACTGCAGGGCATCGAATGGCGTAACTACGAACGCATGTACCAGGAGCTCCAAGCTGCTAAGCGTCAATTTGCTGACAGCGACGAGGAGAGTGATGTTGGTGAGGATAGTCGAGAAACTGGCTCAGCTGCCAAAGTGGAAAGCGAAGAAGAGAACAGCGACAACGAAGACATTTCTTTTGGAGGCATGTTCGTGAACAAGCTCAAGCAAGAAGGCAGCGAAGTGTGCGCCTTGTGTGAACTGAGTGGTGGCGACTTTACCAGCACGGACAGTGGCAGCGTTGTTCATCCACAGTGCGCGATGTTCACACCTGAAACGTTCTTCAAAGAGGGTGTCGTGCACGGCATTAACCTCGTTGATCCTGAACGTAGACGATTGAAGTGTTCCATTTGCGGTGGCTGCAAAGGGTTGAGTAAAATCCAATGTGCTCACAGAAAGTGTGTGCGAGCATACCACGTGGCCTGTGCGTTTGTGAACGGCCTTCTGACTCGAGATCCATACTACCAGGCGTGGTGTCCTCGTCATCTGAAAACTTCTGGAATGGGGCAGTTTATTGAGATTCCTGATCATTTGAACAAAGACAAAAGCTCACAATCTGCAATTACTAGCAGCGACACACCAAGCGTGACCCCAGCAACTTCCCCAGCTCGAAGTAAACGGAGACCTGGCAGACCGCGGTCATCTCAACAAAGAAAGAATCGAAACCATAAGGACACGACACCGGCTGAACCAACGACTGCGACCCAAGTGGACATTTCGTCGTCCAAGACTAACAGAAAGCGGAAACGGAAAGGTAGCAACGCCAGTATTCCCGCCAGTGTCATTAACGCCAAAAACGCTCGTGTGACTCGAGGTAGTAGTCCTCGCAGTGCCATTGTTGTAGACGCAGAGGAGCCTCGATGTGCGAGGAGACTGGAGATCGAGCTGAGTGATGACAGTGACCACGAAGGGAAAGCAGTCGAGGCGTGGCAACAAGGACGCGATGCTCAGCATGTTTTCACCGAGGGTGAAGTGGTGGAAGTGCTGGCTCGAGACTGGCGGGGTATCAACAAACCTGGTGGCGTGGCTCGCGTCCGTAGCGTGGAGGTGGTTCAGAAGACGAACGGCGGGAAGGACGTTTTCTACGATGTTGTGCACATCGTCGGAGCGTTCAAAGAGAAACGTTTGCCTGCCAAGTTTGTTCGCAGGTACAAGTCTAGTGATGAATAGAATAATAGAGGTAGTTTACATCGATTTGCTCATTTGCATGATATTCAATGAAGACTGTTAGCGGCAGTATCACTATTACGCGAATGAAAAACCCCTGCCACTTTGTGCTGTACCTTGCAAGCACGCAAAAGTCGAACCACTAGTTCTGCACGTAAAACAATAAAACGTGACTGCTAGGTTCAAGGATAATAGTGGTAATTGGGAAGCTCCATACTGGGCAACTTGACTTTCAGCCAGCTAAGTATGTGGCAATTTCCATCCGCCATCTCCAAGCTATACTCAAGAACAAACTTTCCAGTGTCTTCTGCAAATTGGCGGTTGATGCA